GTTGTTTTCCTAGCCGAACAACCTCTGTATCTTGCTCGACACTGGATACAGGCCGGGTTCGGAAGCGCATCTGTGGCAGCAGGCAAAAAACCATTCAGATCGAGTTTCTTGCAGTTCTCACACTATGAAAATTTTTTAGCTTTGCTTGAATATAGGAAGAGAAGGGGCCACTCACTCTTGTCCTGGCTTTCCATTTGCCTGGTAGAGACATCAAGTATTTCTCTCGCTCTGGAAGAGGAAGTCGTTTCCAATCCTGAGATGTGAGGTGGCCATTCAATTTGTGTTTCTTCTTTGGGTGCACCTCATCTATTTCACCAGCGTCCGATCCTGGTCTCGTACCCGAAGCTCTCTTAGAGCGAGTGACACATGAAGGCTCTTTATCCTTCGAGCCGTTCGTCTCCAGAGGATCCATAGGAATGACACGGTAGACGACGGTCTTTCTTCTACCCATGTCAACATCCCCCAAATCTCCGTCTTCATCTCCAGAGATATAAGCAAGTTCCCTGCGCTGCTGCTGGACCTCTCCGTCTGAAACGTACAGTTTCTCGTCTTCACGTTCCTGCCGCCGAGCTTCATCGCCGATTCTTTTCAAAGAACCTGGTCCATCCGCGTTTTCCCACCCTCGGGCGTCCTCCTTGAGCTTTTTCCAGAGTAAAATGGAGCCGCGAACACCGAGCATCTCGTAGGGAGCACTGTGTAGCCGGCGCATGTTGGTACAGAAGACTTCATCATCCTGTGAGCAACGTGACTGTTACAGTTGTGCATAATGTCGGTATGAATGCAGGCTTACCAGCATCTCACGCAACTTAACTATGTGGTAATAGAGTCGCCAAGCTACGTGGATATTGGGATCCGCTAGAGGGCCGCGGTCGTAAACTTCTGCAAGGTCTTGAAGATGCTTGTTGGTATCTTTGTAGTATTGGGGCACTGGACCACCACGAATTTTGAAAAGAAACGGCTCCGCTCCTATGAAAAATTCTTCAGCCATGGTAGCGAGAGACAAGGTGAGTCAACCAGCGTGTTACTCGTTTGTTCGAGCTTTCCAGGATAGAAGACTTCGCTTCTTCGATTAGCTTCCAGCGCTTGTTCCTGGTCTCGTTACTACTCCGTATATGTTCATCGGCTTACCACATAGAGGCTCAGCTTGATCCATGGCAACGAAAAATAGTTCTATCGATGATTAATGATAAATTTAGTTTCGAAAGGTACTCGACAAATGACAGAGAAAGAAGTAGAAGGATATACTGAAGGCTTCCATTTTCAGTAATGACTCAACCCAAAATGATCATGCACATACCTCAGAATACTGTAAGTGAGGCAGACCTCGCCCGATGGACAAGTATAGAGTACGATATAGGTTGGGAAGAGGCCTGCCAATCAAATACAGCTAGCACCGACAGAAGTTTGCTGCACGAAGGAATGGGGTGCCGCACCTCAGACTCCTATCCCTGTGACACTGCGTTCGCCCGTTCGATGTCCATTGAAGTGCCACCTTAGCTTCAAACCAAGGATCAGCATGTATCCAAAATCAATGCACTAACGGCGACGGTATAAGATGAATGATTGCCGTCGCCAGTGTAATAATGACCGGTTCCATGATACTCTGAGCTGAAGGCGACAAGGAATATTTCGATACAGCAGAACGGTAGTATCGCTCACGAGTGGCGAGTCAGCCGGCATATATCCATCTACAAGTCCCAAGCGCACGGAACCTCCCATTGACTCTGTGGAACATACACAGAGCCGAGTATGAATATCATCCTGGAGATGAACGACAGGATTCATGTAGTAATCGCTTGTTGCAAGGGATTGCATCTACTTGGGCGAGATGAACACTCTGGTCTGGCGAGTTCGAATGTTAACGGCAACGGAAACTGAGACGAGTACAGTACAACCCTCGGATGCATGATGGTCCAAGACGTCGAAGGAGCTCTTAAGACGCGTCCTCCTGCAGTCTTTGTCCCCTCATAGATGAAGAGTCCTTGGTGCGAGCTAAGAATACTGGAATCTTCAGTCAATGACTTCTCGTGTATCTCCAGGGACATGATTCCAACTGCGCGCTGGTGAAGGGAGAGCTTGACCTCCCTCTGTGGATATAAGAGTGCATGTTTGGTGCGTCCAGGAACCCTGCTGTTCAAGACTGTGCTAAGCACAAGTGCTGTGTACACCTACTTTGACGGAGAATGTACTTTAAACCGAACAGGAAACGAGTACGAAGCCACAGGAGAAAGGTTTGGGTGTCGATTGGATGCAGGCGTGCGACAGCTTTGTGAGATCAAGGCATCTGTGCCACGAGACGTAATGAACACTCTTGAACCCAATACTAGTTTGTGGATAAGCATACCAAGAATTTGCAGCGTATGGAGCTATAATGTTTCTGGGCAGTAATGGTAAGAGACTGGCGAGTGAAACGTCACATAGCAAGGATCACAGCATCTAAGGGGTGGAAGATTGGTTTCGTCTTTAAAAACAACGGGAAGGCAGGAGATAGGCACAGGTGTCCCTTGCGAGAAAGGGAAAGATCTGACCTCAAGTGTTGAGCGATCCCGTCCTGACTGGTGCAATATTGTCCCAAATATACGTCCGGCCCTCAAACTGGAGTAGCCACCGCCGTCATGAGACAAATGAATGAGGAAAGTTTGTGTCTAATTTCACAGTTCTCCAGACTGAAGGCGACATAGCATCCTATGCAAATTGACTGCTTAACCCGTATTGGAATGACACGATAATAAGTTTTGTTGACTGCACAAAAGACGCGTATCCAAATCTCAAGTGCACAGACCCTGCCTTGACAAACATACGCGGAGCCGTAGCACAAAGAGAAGTCCAACGTCACCCCATAAACGAACAGCCGTGGTACCGTTTACTTGCCAGCTAACAGGGATGTCATCTTTTTGGACCAAGTGATCTTTCTGATCTGGCCATGAGAAGAGTGACGAGAGCACAGATGAGACTCGGATGCCAGCCATTGGACCTCTCAGAGACGTGTCCTCCTACAGTCGTCGTCGTCCTCGTAAACGACGAATCCTAGGAAGCCCGGAAAGAACGTTGGAATCATTCGCCGACAAATGCGTAGTATACATCAAACTGATGTAAATTCCAATGGCGCGCAGATGCGAGGAAGAGGCCCCCCTCCATTCATGCCTGTTTGGCTCGTCGTCTCTAATACGCAGAGCAATATGACGGCGACTGTTGGGGGTATTATTCCAGAGGTAACTCGTTTCGGGCAAGAGGTGAATGAGATGGGATGTGCGCTGAGCTGCCGGCTAGACAGAACATGTTTGCAGATTTTGTGGATAGGTGCTGAGTACGGGGGAAAAGGATGCGAATAGGATAGGACTGTAGGGCGTCACGCACGCAAACGGTTCAGCGGGCCTCGATAATATCTGCACGGACTGTCGAGGTATATGGAACTTGCGACCAAAAGGATGCTGCTCGAAAGGTGCTGTTACAGTATGGCTGAGAGTCGCGCTTGAACCGTACTTCGAATACCCCCAGTCGATGCCCATAAATGGAATGTCGAAAGAGGACTCGCAAGATCGGTGCCAAGGCTGGGCTGCGACAGTAGATTCTATCCGAGTCGGGATGGTCAAGGCTCCTTGTTCTGCAAGTGGGAGCGTAAAATATTGAGATATCATAAGGTTGACCGGCTTTCCCCCTCTTCACAGGGTCGCCACCCATCGAAGAAAGCAATGTCGAAGTGGTTGCGTCTCTCACGCTATCCGGTACAACATCTAGGAACTGAGGCCACTCGATGAGAATAAGGAAAGGTCATCAACACACGGCTCAAACCTTCATTCATGCCCTGGATTCTGATGATCATATACACGCCCCTTCAGAGGTTCGTTAGGTCCCGAATGAAAGACGGCTTAATAGAAAAAAAACTCACCTCGGAATTTTGCGTCTGCGCTGCGAAGCTAGCCGGAAGCCATAAACGACGGTCCAGATGTAGTCATCCAGTCGCGAATCATACTCTGAGGACTTGGAGCAGGATATAGACGAGACGGGTACAGGGTATCGAGCGAGAAATGAAAAGGTGGTGGTTGATGGTGAGCGTAACTCGGCAGTTCCGCGGTCATTACGGTGATCCCTCCCTTGCGATTTCTTGGGTCATCCCGTATTGCTTGGTAGGCATTCGTACAGCCATACTTCCCCCGTCTATGACCGCCGTTGTAATAGTATCCGGAATGTCCATTGCTATCCTCTTGATGACGAAAATGCATCAAAGGTGAGACGAAGTATAGGTTGGATGAGAATACGAAAGTCCCGGCTCGTAGGCGATGGAGGGTCCGGGAAATTGGCCTTCGTGACCTGGTGGTATTGAGTAAAAAGCACACAGAAGTCATCGACAAAGACTGACCTGATGTCCAAGACATCTCGAATTCGAAAGTGAACACTCCTGTGCTGCTCGTTGCTCCCTACTACCGATCGAACGTTGCTGCTGCGGATGCTTCAAGACGAGCAGGGCGAACACGAATGGGCAAGGCCATCGAACACCATACCCGACGTTCCATAGCGGTCTCCAATGTGTGTCCTTGGGCCGTCTTAAATCGCTTGATAGTCGCTCGAAGACCATTGCAGGTGCTCGCCTCCTCCGGAAGCGCAAATCATCACCGTAGCAGCCATGTGCTGACCGTCCATCCCTGCACAGCTATTCCCGAAAACGCGCCAAAGGAGATCGAGAAAACTGCGCCCCGCGGTCAGAAACGCGATTGGATGACAAGGAGGCGCGTTACGGCAACGACGGGAAATTGGAACGAGTCTTGTTGGTCTGGCGGTGCAGATGAGATACACGTTCCTTCGTTCCGCCGTGAGATATCAGGAAAGAAAACTCCCAAGGGCTGACATCTTGAATTTGAGAAGGCAAGTTGCTTTCTCGGCCCGCCTTTTGATGGAACGCAGAAGCAAGTGAGAGCTCAGGGAAATTTCGTTGGGAGATGCTTTGATAGGAGAAGCAGTGGGCCTGAGATATGAATTACGCGCTTGGACTTTTTGCATATTCTCTGGTAGTATATCAGTTAGTACACGCGCCTGTCATAGCCGTACTGTTACGCGCGAAAGCTGGGTTCGACTCCCAGCCAGAGAGTCGAAGGTATATTGATGAGTTTGTTTTTCTTTTTTCCCTGACAATAGAGTCTAGAGTCTAGATATGCTCGCAGCAGCCAGCCTGATGACTTGTTGCTCGATTGAGTAGATTCTCGAGGCTCATATGATGTATTTTAGAGCTTAAAGCTTCCTGATTCCTGATACTATACAATTGACACCAAGGTCAAGCATGGATGCAAAGAACAACGCTAAATTAAATGTACGGGGTGGTCAATGCACTACAAACATAGTCCAGAAGGCAGGTGGCATTAGTGAGAATCTGGCAATACTCAGGCATCCTCGAATGTACCCACTGATTCATGCATGGCACAAACTTTGAGGAATATGGTGCACATGATGGAGATGGAAAATCTATGTCGTATTAAAGAGATTAGAGGAGCATTTGTACTGGCACTGATGCACGGCCAAGGTTACATGTAAGTATCAGAAGAGGGAAAGTTCGAAGGGAAATCACAGTCTAACAGACTGAGATTTTAACGAGTCCGCTAACTATGCAAATATGGTATCAGCTAAATAGTCCTCCAGGACTGCAGATGATGCTGCGACATAAAGGGGATGAGGGATGAGAGACTCAATGGCTACTGGGATAGTTTTTTTGGTGTTCAAGTGACTGGGAAGGCAGGTAACAGGGAAGGTGTGTCAAAATGTGTCTATTTTGACTTGCATGCAGTCATCAAAGCACTATACTCAGCACCTTGACACGCTTAGAGTAGCACGAAACATGGAATGGATGGGAGTATTCGCTGGCGATGATCTCTTTGGATGGGTGGGTGCAAGTCTGTCTTTGGTCATTAGGGTGAATGAGCATTCATTTTGCTGCAGTCATCTATGATATACCTGTCATCGCTGTGACCACCCCGGCTCTTAAAAGTTAAAAATTTCGAAAACGGCCACTTACATACCACAAATTCTAAATCAGCCCTGCAGGCCAAAGGCATGATTTCTTGCAAGAAATGAGCTAGTTCATATGGAAAAACAGTGATACACGATTCCCAATCTTGAGTTCTGTGCAAAATGCATCAAATTTGATGAAAAATATCAAAGTGAAGATTTACTCCGCTAGCAGATCCATGGTGGCTCTGCAAGGCTTGAATTGTCTAAAATTAGGCATCAAAATTGAGTGAAAATGAGTCAGAAATAAGGATCTCTTGACAACAGACCTACCTTGGTCATGGGATGATGATACACTGTGGTAAATGGCTCAGAGTGGTGGGACTCCACACACATAACATGAAACCTCAACTGGAATAACACTAGTGGTCATTGGTCGTTGCCTCCAATACCTTGCTTAGCAGTTGGCATCCCTACATACCTTAGTATTATAGTAGTATTGAATACAATACTCTTTCCCTGACTAACAAAGCCCCCACCAACTTTCTATGAATAAGATTATATTTCTGGCTTGTCTGATTTCGCAAGTATGCCAAGTCTACTATCATGGGAGTATTTGGTCCTTCACGCCTTCACTCTGGATTTCTTTGCCATCGATCAGTTATCAGAATCTGCCAGTCGATGCTTTGGACATAACTCAGGCTTCTCCACTAGAGAGAAAAATTTGTATATCATGACCCTATGTTCCTTGTATAAACACGATTGTAGATGTTCAGAGATGATCCTTGTAGAGCATCTATAACTGCTGGTTTGGTTGTCCTTTTGAGGCTGCGCTCGATGTCAGATCCATCAACAAATTGGGGTGATACTGTGTGTACCTGTCAAGTGTGAAGCAAGTCTCTCAATGCTTGAGGCTGAGGTTCTGTTTACTGGTGGGTGGTGGGCATGGTCTTCACCCTCATTCTGAATACATGGGTGTCTGCACCATGTTCTGCCATATGGTTTAGAGCACTGGTCTCGGAGGACACCGGATAAAGGGTTTGGGTTTTACTGTCCATGGTGACACAGAGCAAGTAGCACATCCGATTTGCTTGTATTTCTGAGGCTGCACTAGATGTCGGTTCCGTCAACAAGATGGGGTGCATCTGTGTGTATCCGTCAGGTGTGAAGTAAGTCTCATAAACCTTGGTGCTGAGGTTCCATGAGCTGCTGTACATGTTTTTGCATCCCCGTTCCCGATCCATGGGCGCCGACATCATGTTCTGCCGTATTGTTTAGAGCACTGAATGACACTGGATGTTCAGATTGGAGATTTTTTACTCACCATTCACGCGTGTTTTCACCAAAAAGGCAAGAAATTTCCCTGGCAGACCTTTCAAAACTTCCAGGGTAATGGATTGAGTCACCACCTTGGCGGATGCTCTGAGAGAATCCTGCAAAAAGGAAGTACAATTGCCTAAGAAGTAATACAGATTCCGCCGTGATTTGGCAATGAAATCAGAGACTTGGACCTGTTATATGAGTTCAGCATGTTGATCCTCTCAGGCAAGAGATGCTTACGCCATGCTCTTCCAAGATTTTAATGATGTTTTCCATGTCCATGTCGTCCAAGAGATACTGTATACTGATGCCGTCTCGAAAGGACATCACGTCGAGGTGGGTCGTCTTAGTGTTCAATATTCAGTGTCGCCCCTTGTTTAGGGGCCGAGATTGCACCATTCACGTGAATATCATGAGTTAGGTCCAGCGCACGGTTTCGACCCCAAGAGACCTTGACAAGCAAGATAATCAGTTAAGGATTTAAAAAATAGTCAGACGGACTTACAGTCCTGAGTCCTCTGCGAACGACGATATATCGTCTTGGAGCAAGACTCCGTGACGAGAGCATCGGATCGGACACCTTACCTCAGCTCTACCTATAAGAGTAAAAGGAGATAAGTCAGCTGTGATAGGCTAAGGCACAAAGGTACTCACTATGCTCACCAGACGGCGACACGTTCGCAGAAAAGAATAGGAATACTCGAAGCACCGGCGGAAGGGAAACCCCGGGCAAGTTTTGTGATTGATGGTGGCAGATACAGAGGTTGATTGCATCTTCTTTCAAAACCATCGCCGTCGTCCGTTTGCGGCATATTTCGAACCACTGTACGCTATCGAGCCTTCCGCAGAATTTCATGAGTAGCTTGAAAAGGTATAGAAACTGAAGCAATCTTGACGATACCCCCGGAAATTAATCCTGGGATCTCTTCTCATCATGGCTCTTGCTCGCGGAATTTGTGTGTCTCTGTTGCGCCCCTCGGCTCGTCGCTCACTTCAACCTTGCTTGCAGACCGAATTCACAATGCTGGCGTTCCAGTTGTCATGGATCTTTACAACGGTAGGTGGCCCCAAGCATCTTTGTACTCTCGGATATGGCTGCTGACACTCTGAGTCCTTAGGGTCCAGTGCTGATAGTATATTTCTCCCAAACTGGTGGAGAAAATCCTCTTGCTCAGTACTTTGTAGATACAAAGATAACCGGCTGGCAATTCGGCGAGGCTATCAACTGGAACCAGCTTTGGTTGGTCGAGCTGGTCGACAGCGGCAAGACTGATACCTTCACAGTCCGCAGTCTCATCGCAGGGACCTATATGGATTTGTTTTGTGGTAAATATGTGCGCTATCATCTATCTAGCATTTTAAATTTCCTTTTTTTTTCAGGAGGGTCAGACAATCGGACTCCCATCCTTGGTTGGCACAGGACCGGCACGAACCAGGAGTGGATTATCAAACACTCTGCGGATAATCGAAGCTACAAGTGTGTCTTTATTTTCGTATTTTCTAATTGAGGACTAAATTCTGTTACAGGATGAAGAACTACGCATCGGGAAGTACGTGCAGTACCTCTTCAGTCTTTTTCCTGAGCTCATTCTGCTAGCTTTCGTTGATCTGTTCAACGGGTATGCCGTTCGCGTCCGCAACACCCAATCCCATTGCTGATGTCTTTCGTTACAGTGACTCATCCAACGGTGCCCAGATTTGTGGATGGCAAGGCAGCTTCAATGACACTCATCCTCACCAGTGCTGGTTCTTCCAGCGTATGAGCCTTTCGAGTGCAGAGATTAGGACGATTATTGGGAGAAATCCTCATCTCTCCAGGTATTATACAAGTTATCAGGTCGATGCAGAGTGTGTGTTCTGCGCTTTCCACCGAAAGAACTATTTGACCATTTTCCGGCGCCAGATATTTGATCCTTCCGAGATATCTTTGGCAGGAAATTTGGGAAAGTACGGGTCTACGCAACAAGAACTGGCGCAGGCAAATTTTTGACTGCGATGATTTTGCGCTAGGTAAAAGGTCTAAATTCTTTACGGCACAAGTCTAACCTTCTTGTCCAGTTATGAAGGCTGCAATTGCTCAATGGGGAACGGATAAATGGCGCGCTGATGTGAGCTAATTGAATAGCCCATACTCCACTTCTTCCGAACTTAACAGTACTACCAGGGATTTGCTATCTTTTGCGGTCTCATGCTTGGGAGAAGCCAGAGAAACCCTAGAGAAGCACACGCTTACAATTTTAGCATCAGCGACGATCATTCCAGAGTAGTTTTCTTCGAGTACGCTTTCCAATCCCCTCGTCCCTTTGTCCACCACTTACTTTGTGCCCAAGACCGCAGACCAACGAATTTATGGTTAGTTCTCACTTGATCAATTTTATATTCACTTCGTAACTTTGCCTTGTATAGGATAACGTTGGCTACGATGCTTACCTTGCCTACTTTTGAACCAAGACGACGAACTACTGTTCTCGATACCTTGTACTTACGTTGAATACGATGTCCACTCACTACAAAGCCAGACCGTCATTAAGCGCGCTACGCACTCAGTCTGTAAATGACGTGGCAATAAAGGCCTACAATAAAACAGCGGGTTTGACCTCACGTCCAAGTAGGACAACCTAATATCAAACGCAGCTACTTTAACGTGAAGGAGGCCTACTTGGTTGACCTCCAGTACTGACATTTGTCTTTAACGTTATGGCGAATCATTTCCCTCCTCAACTTTAACGATTCAGCGGGCCTCGATCAAGTCGGATGGCTCAGAAGAGACGACGGTGCTCGATGGCGCCACTGGCTTGAACGATGGTTGTCCCATATGCAGGTGCTGGATATGAATGGAACATCGATATAAATTGATACCAAGGCCGGGGTGTAAATCATATCGCAGCATCGATAGTAACTAGATTGATGATTCTATCTCCTTCTTGGTGTATTGACGCACTTCAGAGTGGAAACCGGGTTCGATTCCTGGTGATGATACTAATTGAGTAAAGTCTGGCTTTTTCGACGCTGCATTGAGAATTCGACGATAACGCCTGAGGACCATGGAGGACTACACAGCGCATCACGAGGCTCAAAAGTTGCAAGTTTAAGGGAATAGTACAAGCTAGACGCTGAATGTTGAACGTAATTGTCGAGACAACCTGTTGAAGCAACTGCCAAGTTTATCAGTTACCGTTAGAAGGAAATGGCCTCAGAGCTGCTCACCTGCCATCCGAATTCGATGCTGACCGGTATTATTGGAGCACGATGTTACTGATGTTGGTGAGGGCAAAATCCAAGTCGAAGGTGAGAGGTCCTCCCCGAGTCCGGGCTAGTCCCAACAAAGGCCCCTTGTTCCGCAATTGGGAGCGTGACACGCAAGAATACCGCGGCATCGAAGACGTTGCTCGGCTTTACTTCTCTTCACAATTGATAATTGAACCACCCCGTCGAAGAAAGAGGCCCCGGGCACTTCCTGGTCGCTGTACCTTCGCTTCTATTCCAAGTGAGCTAAAGATGGATTTTTCTGAAGCCCACTGAAATGAGATGCAACGAGCAGATCCCACAAACCGACGTGAGACCGTTGGGATAGCCCGATGAGAACAAAGAGCAGCATCCGGAGAAGTAATGCCGTGAGTTGGGATGAATTGAACGTGTTAGGCTCTGGGTCCGTGATTTCTTTAATTGCGAGCGGGGCGGTATCTTTTAATGCCAAGGTTAGTACCATTTCAGGTCGACGTGGTGATAGAGTTTACTGTAAGGCGAGCACACGCTTTCCCTTGATATCTATTCTGATGGACATACACGGAGGAGTGGTGTCCATTCATAAAGAAGGAAAGGTCACTTCATCGCGAGCGGAAAGACACAAACAGGGGTCCAGATAAAGTCTTCGACTCTCATGCCACGAATAGATGAGGGACAGGATAAATAAAAGGGGGCCAATGGACGACGAGCGAGTAGTGAGCTAGCTATGCATGACCATTTCATATTCCATGGTTAATACTTGGCGATGATGTCTCTATTTCAGGACATGTGGCTTTGGCTATCCTGCATAGGTGAGAGGGAAATTCGCCTTTGGTATAGAATGGTCGTAGTCTGATCATGACTAAGTCCGGAGATGAGACACCCGTCCTCGACCTCGTATGGGAGAACATCATGAACACACGGTCGACTTTCTATCACGGACTTTGTATATCCTGGATGCATGGAAGCAGTCTAGGGAGGAAACATCTTAGAATCTTTCAATGTGCTCCGTGCATCGTGTAGCTCATTGTCTTGCATTCCGCGCAAGAGATGATGCCGTACATCAGAATCCTTGTGCGAGACAAGAGGCCCACACAGCCCTGATTGTGCGAACCAACCCAATCCTCTTTGGACGGCTGGGATGTTCCGACAAGAACAAGTGGCAATGTGAATGAACATCGTGGTTGAGATATCGTGGAATATGATGAATCGGTAGGCTGGGGCTTGTCTTTGATCCTTCCTTATTTGACAGCGACGCGGTACCTTTCAATCCTAAGTTAGTACATTTCAGGACGACAAGGTGATAGAACTTACTGTAATGGCCTTAGCACACGGCTCGTTCCCTTCATGTCTAACTCATATGCTGTCTCTGATTCTGGCGAACGTACACGAAGCGGGAGCATCTACGGAAGGATCAAGTCCTCGGTATTAAGAAAACGTGGTATAATAAAAAGCCTCACCTCGACACTGCGCGCTTGCGTTTAGAACCAAGCCGGAAGTCACAAACAATGGCCTAGATTCAACAGGGCATCATGTTGAGGACTCGGAGCAGCATATATGCGGTGCCTGACAAAATGAAAAGGTAGTATCTGATGGCGAGCGTAACTCGACGGTTCCACGATCATTCCCATCGCGAGACGTTGGACTGTGCCGCGTCGCTTGATAGGCATCCGTACATCCATGTCGCCCCAGCGCTGACCGTCGTTGTAACAGTCCATCACTGTACGGAAATGGGCCAAATCAGAGCGCTCGTCTGCGATTCGCTGTCGGAAATATGGTTGGATGAGAGCGAAAGCTTGACGAAAGGTCTGGGAAATCGCCTTTGTTATATAACCGCACGAACTTGTTGTGATCTGGCGGTACTGAGAAAGCTATGCAGAACACAACGACAAAGACTGACCTGGCATTCATATTGTCCTCGAATTTGAAACTGCAAGCGATCTGATTGTAGAGACGATGATGGTTGACACAAACGGGTGAGGCCGTCGGACAAGCAGGTGTTCGACGTTCCATAGGGGTCTCCAATGTATGTCCTTGGGCCGTCCTGCCATCGCTCGATAGTAACCGCTCGACGACCAGTCCACCCTGCTCAGGGAATCGCTGCCTGTGCTCGCCGTCTAAAGCTACACAGCTGATCACGAAAATACGCCAAAGGAAGTGACCCGCAGTCAGAAACGGTCTAGCGGTGAGAATGAGTTCCAATCTTCGCGCAGTTAGAACTTCACGTACCTTGTGCCATTCAACTAGTACACGTCAGAATCCTTTCTACATATCCTTCGCGTACGAATCCACGTTCCTTCGTTTCGCCGTGAGATACCAGGAAAATTTCGCAAAACTTCACATCAAGGGGCTGACATCTCTAAGTCGAGACTGCATTGCTGTCTAAGCCTTGCTAGTACTGATGAAACGTCCAATGTTACTGTCGCAGGTGGGAGAAGATTGTAGTTTGGAAATGAATGGCAGGGAGATGTCGGAAAACCACCTTTAGTAGAGAATGGAATGTGTCTATAGCGGTCTAGTGGTGTGGATGAGCTCTAATATTGGTACATTTAGAACTTTATGTACCAACCATTCGCCAAGTGCACGAGAGAGTGTTTTCTACATGTCCAAACTGCCTTCACCGTATACGAATCCATGTCCCTCGATATCAGGGGGAAAACTTGCAGAACACGTAAAGGACTGAATTCGAAACTCGTCACTTTCTCAGTCTGGCGATGGATGGAACGTCAGATGTTGCTGTCGCGAGTGTGAACGGCAGACGCTTCATGGGAGTTTCGTTCGTGGAGGACATTGTTGTGTTGAGAGCGTGTGATGGCGGTTGGATAGCATCCTGTTACATAACTTAAGTGGCAAAGACATCTATACAATATTATCACGACAATAATTCTCTGGTAGTATATCGGTTAGTACACGCGCCTGTCATGCGCATAAAGTTACAGGTGACGTCCGCGCGAAAGCTGGGTTCGACTCCCAGCCAGAGAGTAACTTTTGTACTGCCTTTTCAGTTTTTCTCATCGCCACTAGGGCTGCGCACGAAACCTCCAGGGGGGGTTTGATACCGTTTTGTACCCACCCTCTCTGGGAGGTTTCTTACCGGTACGGTAATTTACCGTTTCTTACAGGTCACGTGACTGCCACGGAGCCATTTTTCCAAATTCTTCTGTACCACGCCGTGACGCTATGCTGCCCCATTGTTGTACCTCAAATACTCATGAATTCTGTCCCAATACCTATCAGAATTCTCTGACTACGTCTTCTTATTTCTTTATACACATCTAAGTCTGAGAATCCTTCTCCCTGTCACGTGGTCGGTAAGTTACCTCAATGAAATATGCTCCACTGACCTCTGGTTTCTTACCAGTTTCTTACCGGTAACTTACCGGTCCGAAACCGGGGTGTATCAAAACTGGGGGCTTCGTGCGCAACCCTAATCGCCACTGTTTCAAAGATTCAGAATTTCAGATTCCGGAATCCGCGGATAATTCCCAATTTTTTGTCTCTCAGAGCTTATGTAATGCTTCCTGATATTATGCAATAATCAAATCGAAGTTCGAGCATGGATAAGAAGAACGAAGCTATACGGAGTGGTCAATACACTACGAACAGTGTACCTCGAGAAGGTGAGTGACATTGTTTGGAATAGACGTCGGCAGGTGAAACAATCGTTGGGGTATGGCTTGAATGGATGTATATTCTGGGTGATGATACATAGATGGTCGTGGTATAAAGCCAAGTTACAGTAACGATCGGTACGAAAATCAAAATATGGTAAAACAAAAGACGGCGAGCCGTCAGTTTAAGTGGCTGTGAAACCATATCCTCAACAGACATTAGCGAGAATCAGTACTCAGTCCTACTCAAATATATCTGAATGTTCACCTATGTGGGCGCAGCACAAACCTCATCACAATACGGTGCGCATGGGAACGGTGGCAGAGGAGATGGAAAAACCTCCCAGTTACCTAGGTCGTGGTATTAACGGGATTGGAGAAGCGTTTGTACTGGCACTGGAGTATAGCATGTAGGGTCAAGGCTGCATGTATCCAAAGAGTAAAGGCTCAACGACTCCATCAAGGACCAGAAGACGAAAGGGTGGCTACGAAAGTCGATTACCGCATGGATACAGGGCAGGCTGATATCGCGGGTTATGCAGGTATAGGTATTGGTGGTAAGGATGTCGCTAACCGACGGCTTAGGCAATATGCTGTCGCCAACAGAGTAGCCAGCGCTCCGTCCACTGCAGACGATGCCCATTTTAACCGATTACGATAACACAGGAGGGAAGGAAGAGATATTGTCAAGGGTCACTGGTGCAGGTCAAGCTATGCAATACGTGTCCTTCCGCGGGGTCCATCCTCTTGCCTGTGAAAAAATTGAAAGTCCTCTCCGTGTTTGGTTGATATTCATTGGGCTAGTGACATGAGCTTACTAGGCAATGTATCCTTCTAAACATAAAATTATATTAACATAAGTAGATCTAGTAGCACAAATCGAGAGAATCGCACGAAGCTTTTGCTCGCTGTGAAGAAAAGACTAAGTAAAGTAAAATAATATAAGGTATGTTATAATAACGCGCAAAGGAACGTGGATTATTTCCAGTGGACAAATATAAGATAAAAAGAAGGGATCAGGTCTCCCATCGTCAACCTTTACTTGCTATTTGTCGTAGAGCCTCCGCTACTGGGAGTCGGTCCTCCACTACCGCCCTTGGGCTCCTGAACAGTCCCCCCTCCATTTTCGGTTGAGCCTCCACTACTGGGAGTCGAGCGTCCACGAGGAACGTATCTATGAAACATTCGATGAGATATCTCGCCAGTGCCGAACTCACATACCCTTGTCCTGACATCAACACACTGACCAACATTCAGTATAAGAGAGAACGAAATAAGATCGAACAGCGAACCTAGATGAATTTCCGCTGTGAAAGGAACAGTGAACACTGGGAGAGATGAGGAGTGAGACGATGCATACCGTGCGGAAGGAGAAATGCCTCGGAGAAGCTGGAAAATGCTGAATGCCATGTCTGCAGTGAGTTCGGTGGGGATGAATGGAGAGGTAGCAGTGTAGTGAAGAAATATGCACCTCATCCGCCGCCTTTTATACCACACACGCATATATCAATCCATTGGCAGTTGTCATCGTACTACAAAACGCCGCCGTTTCAGAGTACATATCAGGATGGGCACAAATCAAATCAAAGAAGAACGCAACGTAAATCACTGGCGCGCGTAGCATGTACCACCGTTGATGGTACCCTGCTGACCGGCCACATAAGAGTGGATCATAGAACGGAGGCGACCAGTATACATTAACAAGGATCCTAGTATGCAAAACCTCCGTGATGATGAACACTGTAGGAAGGTGACGTCGTAGCATTATTGTTACACTCGATGAACGGAACATGTGCATAAGAGTGGACACCTCAGAGGAGGTGGGTACATGGAACGACGGTGAAGATACCTGTGCATGATTTACAGTTCCCGACGTGAAAGTTGGCTCAACTGTTCAGGAAGGCGAATGTCTGGGGTTCGCGGCTTGGCGCATCAGCAGCACCATTCTTCCCTTCCGCAGGAAAAGTTGAGAGGTATGGTGACGAAGCTATGATGGGGACCTTGGTTGCCGAACGACGGACTGCGTCCTCCTCATAGCGAAGGCCCCACCTGGATACATCTTTTGCTATTGTCCACCATACGGATGCCTGTTGTCTGGAAGGCGGTCGGACGAGAACAAAGGGTGGGGTTGGGCAACGACGAGTCATCACCTCAGGTGGTATCTAATAATGAGCTCGTTGCAGCATTTCATCGAAATTCCACACACCTTGCACCGTCGAGCTGTGCCCACCTCTCCAGTCCAACATTTCATTCCTAGAGCATCTTCAGTGAGATGTTGTGAACCGCTTGATGAAGCTGGCAGGTATCGCAAAGCTCGATGCCGACGCCATCCGGCTGGCAGCCCCATTCCTGGTGTAAGTCAACTTTTTCCCTAAATGCATATTCGTCACTGTGTTCCAAGTGAAAATGAGTATCTGATCACCTTCAAGGGCGTCGTGACATCGTTGCGGTGAATGCATACGGAGACATCGGACCGAATTGCCTGAACACGGGCGCGCCTGTGGCGTGGGAATTATAGGGACCTTGCACTATTTGGGGCTGGCGCCGCAAACTTCCTACCCAACAACCACGAGCTTGACGAGCCTCAGTTAACCACGCACTGTCCCTCACTGCACCTAGAGTCCAAAATATTCCCATCTATCTCTGCTTTCTGTCCTTTGTTTTATTTTCTGGCTGAATGCCATGAACAGCACTTTTGCTTCTGCCTTTCTTTCAAGTCTCGACTCCCGCCTGCTTACTCAGCTGCATATGATTCAGTTTAGACACAGAAAGGGCTTGTAGTACACTATTAACGTCCCTCTCCTGCCAGGATGCTTCAATCACCACTTGAGATTGCTCAATGGCCGACGTAAGCGACCAGATTGCCATTAGCACCACGACTGACCTTAGTACAAGGAGCCAAACATAAGATCCGACTCGTCTGTCTCTCAGCAGCTGAATATCTGACTCTCAAGTCCTTTTACGGCTAGATTCGCCTACGTATTCACATTTACGGTTTTTTGGACTGTGACTCACGAGAAGTTGTCGTGTGACATACATCACCGTGGAAGGCATTGTTCACGAGGTAATCTCTATTCGGCATCTAGATGCAGCTGAAGCATCGCCCTGTAGAGATTTGGTGAGTTTACGAATAATTGTGTGATCCTTCTTTTCTAACTGTGTTCAAATTTAGCAATGGTACAAGGTCCTTGGAACTCAACTTTCACTCCTGTTGCAAGGACGCCTAGTCATTGCCATGGGCAGATGAAGCTGAGAGGAAGGTCATCCCCGGCCAGAGTATTTATCACGGTAAGTACTTTGCACATACCTCATTCGTTGTTCTGGACTAGAGCTCCCCTCGGCAGCCTCGTAAGAACTCTAAGATGAAGTCTCAAGTCACCGAAAATGTGAAGACATATACCCATTCTCAAGAATCGGGGTCTTTATTGTATTGGCTGACCGAGGTCCTCGGGTTCGGTGAGTCGTTGTCCATATTTTGTAGGCCGCCCTTCTTCGTTTCGTTTCCTAAACCTCCTCCATAGTCCTACACGGCCCCGTTCGCGTGTTGAACACAATCTACAATTGCTGAACGGACATGATTTCTCTCGTCTTTCCGCCTGGCATGTTACTCCGCAGAGTTGTATCTCGGTGGCTAGTGTTCTTGTATCCCAAGCTGCTTCACACGTTAATCCCGTTGATCCTACGTGTTTCGGATATGTGAATTTCTCACCAGCCTGTGGAAATGCGCGCTCTCGAACCTATAACAAAAAGATATACTACCAATATCGATGTGAAATTTCTCACCGGAAGATAGTATTGCTGCGCTCCTCACGAAATATTTGCGTGAAGTCATGGCGGATGACTCGTCGATATACCGGTGATTTCGGCCATCCACAATATGAAGGTACTACCTCTTTGCAATCAATCGTTATTATCCTGTCAGCCAAGCCAGGGTGCCCATAATTAGGTCTCGGGACCGGCGTTCAACGTTTATGTAGGTTTCGCTTCGCCAGCTATGGTATATGGCTCAGCTTCTATGCATCAGGAAAGCGCACAAAGCGCGCATTTTTCTGATGCGAATGTCATCTAGACACACGTGAAACCCGGTATTCTGGGTTGATGAGGCATTTTCGGAGGATACTCCCACCACCGGGGACCTGAAGCTAGGAACCCTTTAGGGTGTGAGACCCCGATTCCCATTTAAATCTATTAATTTCATTACTAGCGTACAGCTCCATCCCGCCTATCGGGCCGCTACTCACGAAGGCCATCGATATACGCTCACTAGCCATTGAGAGGACGTCCTCTTGACGTCTGGTGACAACGAGCGCATGTCTAAATTTCCAGGCTCGAAACTATTGCACCGGTACATGCAGCACGGTCAGAGTATTT